CATCAGGGGCTTCAAAAGTCAAATCTTGCAGCTGACATCCTGTACTGCGGTACCTGCTGGTACAACAACTGGAAGTAGAGACCGAAGTGCCTCCGATTCCCAAGTTCCACAACTAGGCATAGGGCGGCAGCACACGTGATGCGCCACCTTATCCAATGAAATCAAGCTAAGCAGATGGACTCACAATAATATCTATGTGTATATATATATACACAACATAATCACATACTGACGCCATGTTACGTCATTGTTTGCCAGAAAGATTGGCAAAAAAGGTCCCTCTTATCGCAGATGCTGAGTACCCTGCACCATGCACAAACGTTGATGTAGTCGTCAGGTCCACACCTGTGCTTTTCAGTACTACAAATGAACAAGAACCCAACATCAGAGATATGAAACGCTTCCTGGGGGTCCACACCTGTTGTAAACGGGCAACTTTGGCCAATAAGTTTATATCTATCTCAAATATCCATAGCACGCCTCCATGTTTACCTCTTTCTGGACCTTTCCTCTTAGTTTGCTACCTATCGGCAACCTGTCTCGTCGTGTATAATTGTCAAATAATTCTGTAGTCACTATTGAATACAAGACAGATTGATAAATTCAACCCCCCAATGAGACACTTTTGCTTCTCTCAATCAAATGCTGCGGCAGTGTTTGTCTCAGTTGGCAATTCTAAAGCTCAAGAAATAGATAAGCGAAGGAACCTGAAGAAAATAAAGGAAAACATAAAGGAAAACATAAAGGAAAACATAAAGGAAAACATAAAGGAAATCATAAAGGAAATCATAAAGGAAAACATAAAGGAATACATAAAGGAAAACATAAAGGAAAACATAAAGGAAAGCATAAAGGAAAGCATAAAGGAAAGCATAAAGGAAAGCATAAAGGAAAACATAAAGGAAAACATAAATGACAACATAAAGGAAAACATAAAGGAAAACATAAAGGAAAACATAAAGGAAAACATAAATGAAAACATAAAGGAAAACATAAAGGAAAACATAAAGGAAAACATAAAGAAAAACATAAAGGAAAACATAAAGGAAAACATAAAGGAAAACATAAAGGAAAACATAAAGGAAAACATAAAGGAAAACATAAAGGAAAACATAAAGGAAAACATAAAGGAAAACATAAAGGAAAACATAAAGGAAAGCATAAAGGAAAGCATAAAGGAAAGCATAAAGGAAAGCATAAAGGAAAACATAAAGGAAAGCATAAAGGAAAGCATAAAGGAAAACATAAAGGAAAACATAAAGGAAAACATAAAGGAAAACATAAAGGAAAGCATAAAGGAAAACATAAAGGAAAGCATAAAGGAAAGCATAAAGGAAAACATAAAGGAAAGCATAAAGGAAAACATAAAGGAAAGCATAAAGGAAAACATAAAGGAAAACATAAAGGAAAACATAAAGGAAAACATAAAGGAAAACATAAAGGAAAACATAAAGGAAAACATAAAGGAAAACATAAAGGAAAACATAAAGGAAAACATAAAGGAAAACATAAAGGAAAACATAAAGGAAAACATAAAGGAAAACATAAAGGAAAACATAAAGGACAACATAAAGGAAAACATAAAGGAAAACATAAAGGACAACATAAAGGAAAACATAAAGGAAAACATAAAGGAAAACATAAAGGAAAACATAAAGGAAAACATAAAGGAAAACATAAAGGAAAACATAAAGGAAAACATAAATGACAACATAAAGGAATACATAAAGGAAAACATAAAGGAAAACATAAAGGAAAACATAAAGGAATACATAAAGGAAAACATATATGAAAACATAAAGGAAAACATAAAGGAAAACATAAAGGAAAACATAAAGGAAAACATAAAGGAAAACATAAAGGAAAACATAAAGGACAACATAAAGGAAAACATAAAGGAAAACATAAAGGAAAAAACATAAAGGAAAACATAAAGGAAAACATAAAGGAAAACATAAAGGAAAACATAAAGGAAAACATAAAGGAAAACATAAAGGAAAACATAAAGGAAAACATAAAGGAAAACATAAAGGAAAACATAAAGGAAAACATAAA